CCTCCTACGTCAAATTAAAAGAACTTTGAATTACTACTGTTAACACGAACAACCAGGGTACGTTTATTCCGAGGGTATGTGGAGCAAGACCGGCCTCTCACACCCCGAGACGTGCCAACGAGGGAGATTACTATAAGGCGAGGAAGAGTGCTGGAGGATGGTTTTACCCAGCTACGGTATAGTACATGTCTGTACATCATTTGTGTATTAGTGTATTTGCATAGTCGTAGGTGTCTGCTTAAGTAGATGTGCAATGTATATGCAGGTGTACATATGTTTGTTACGATGGTGTGCATATGTATGGTCATCACATATTTATACATCATGCGTGCATGAGTGTATGTTCATGACCATACGTATGGGCCTATGAATGTATACGTATAAATGCGTCTGTGTTGGTCTGTGCATGGGGACATGCCTGCGTATCACCAGTCAGCCAACGATTACACACACACGCACATAGTCTATTTCGTTAAGTACGTAGAGTGTTGAACTTCTCCGTATATAGTCCTTACCACAACCGTCTACTCAACACGCGCGTCTCGTTGGTTTAATTTACTGCACAGAAACGTCTCTACAGCTGAATTTAGCCAGACATTTCGAGTGTGCGTTTGTTAACGAATTGGGACAGGCACACATGTGAACATAAACTATTTCAATTGAATACTTGTCGGTCTGCACTTCTTCGTATCGCTTCGTGACTCCAACCGTTTGCTCAGCACGTGCGTCCTGTTGGTTTAATTTGTTAAACAGAAACTTATCCACGGTTGAGTTCAAGCAGACCTTTCGGGTTCGCTTTGTCAATGAATTAGGTCAGGATGAAATCGGCATTGACCAGCATGGAGTATTCAAGGTATGTGGATGTGCCGAATTCAAGGTGAAATGGTTTAATTTGCGGATTATTGGACGTTGAGGTCCGTGTCCATGCATACATATATATATATACACACACACACATACACACACACACACACACACACACATATATATATATATATATATATATATATATGTGTGTGCGTGTGTGTGCACTGAACTGAATTGGGCTGTTCACGTGCGTGCAGGTATTTGTACCACCTTACATTTCATACATACCATACAGCATAGCGTGTACTATACATGCAGACATACCATACATGCGATACATACCATATATCTCATACATATCATATTATGTACACCATACATATCACATATCCCATACGTCCCAAACATACCATATATCTTATTTATACTTTACATGCCACCCGGGTCATCCATATTGTACATCCTATATGTAGCATGTTTGCCATACATCTCATATATCCCATACATACTATACATACCATAAATACCGCATATCCCGTTCACACTGTACATACGCGCCTATACAGGAGTTCTTGGAGGATGTGATCGTGGCTGCGTTTGACGCTGAACTCGGACTTTTTGTGTCAACAGCCGACAATCGGCTGTATCCATCAGTGCTCTCGGCCGTACTGACAGAGCACTTGCATCTGTTCTATTTTGTGGGGTATGTTACCCTAGCGAATACACTTACACTCCATGTGGGTGTACACGTAAGCAGACAAGTATGTATGTACTGATGCATGCTTGAAGTGTTGTAGCAGACGAGTATGTAAGTACCAATGCATACTTGAAATGATGTGTACATGGGATAGTCTGCATCGACAGTCGACGAAGTACTGCCTGAGCACCGGCATCCTGTCTATATAGTGGGGGTTGTCTTTGTATGTAGGACTACTGGTATGTTTGTATTGTCAGTGTATAAGTATATATACAGAGTTTAAAGTAGATATACACAGATGTTCGACTAGATGTACACATGTGTTCAGGTAGATAAACACAGATGTTACTAGTTATACAAAGATTTTTTTAAAACATAGACATATGCTTAAGTATATACACACAGATGTTTAAGTAGATATACATAGATGTCCCCTCTTGACTCAGGCAGGTCCACTGGGTACGAAGGGGAAAAAGGTAACAATAATTATCTAACGATACATGCATAACATTGCTGATGAAAAACGGTGTTAGGATTAGTCCACACCTCTCTACCCCTCCAGGCCATCCTTACAGGGATATTACACAGAATAGTTTACTCAGATATCGTACGGAAATCGAATGGGTTATGTGCAAGGCTAATTGAGTGTCCTGTTTTGTCAAAGGGGTTTGCGGTTAGATAGTAAGAGTTTTATACCGTTGAGAATTGTACAGCCAGGGCAATCCAATATCTTCTTTTTTGTCGATTTGAGGACATGTCTAATACCCATGAATATACTTTTTGTTTACTTAAAGACACATAATTGTCGGTATATGCGTATGCGATTTGGTTGATACGGATAGTCTAATAATGAGATACTTAAACAAGGTTATTATATTTCATACTGAGTCTTACGAGTCCATATACATCACCCATTTGCAGGAGTGTGTTGGGTAATGCCGTGTACGCTGAATACATACACTGGATACATACTGTATAAATATATATAGACGACATATTTGTCGATATTACACACGTGTAGTCTAGCAGAGTGGTACTCAAAACAGGTCTACTATGTTCTGTTCTGAATCTGATGCCCAATAAAAGGATAATGTTGGGTTAGATTACTGAGAACACGGCTTTCATGTGCTATTTTGAACAATGTGTCCTAATCTTCGTTCATTGACAGGAGAATGTTAAGCCAGGGTTATGAGAACACCCCTTTAAGTCCTTTTTCGAATCTTCTGTCCTAATTTCCGTCCATTGACAGGATAATGTTGGGCTAGGATACTGAGAACCGAGCTTTATGTCTAGTTTTGAATCTTATTTGTCCCAATATCCGTTTAGGGACAGGACAATGTTGGGCTATGAAACTGAGAAAAGGGCTTTCCTGTCCTATTTTGAATTTATCCCAATCTCCGCCCATTGACAGGATAAAGTTGGGCTATAATACTAAGACCAGGGGTTTTATATTCATTTTGAATTTATGTGTTCTAATCCCTGTCCATCGACAGGAGAATGTTGGGCAAGGCCGTGTATGAGGGTGTGATAGAAGACGTTCTGTTGGCTCACTTTTTCCTGAACAAAATCCTGGGTAGATACAACTTCCGCAACGAGCTACCCTCGGTATGGTTGTCCAATACGTCTCATTTTCATACCGTTTAATTGTTCAAAATGCCTCATTTTACTATAGTTTGTCCATCCATTCTGCCACATTTTCCTACGGTTGTATTGGTACGGTTGTTGCCAAAGCGCAATATCTTCCTTGCTGCATATTGGCCTGCAAGGAGCATCTCTTGAAAACATACTGGGATACAGACATAGTACATTATATTGTATACGAAATCGTGTAGGTATCTTCTCCACGTTGCTGATAGGATATGTTGAGATGTGTAGGAATGATACTTACATGGGTGCTGAATAAAACCACGGATTACTCAGCTGTCGAATGCATGTTTCATTTGGGGTTTCCCCCAGGACGATACCGTTGTGTACTAGGCGTAAGGATTGGAGTGTACCACTATTGTAGAATATGGACTACAAAAACCTTCCCGATATGATGGTATAGAGATACTGTATAGTTATTTCAGTGTGAGTATTGTCTCGTATAGAGGTATATGGTTTTATACCAGGTGTGAGAGTGCATGCCGCATCGGATGTCCTTTACAGAGGGAGTTTGAGTGTGCTAGGACAGTGATTGTGCACTGACGAATAGTCTATTTGTATTTGACTCCTATTGCCACGTCTGAGTCAAGACTCAATGATTTCGTAGTTGTTCAATGGTAGCTCTGAAGTCTTATGATCAAACACGGTCACATTGGAATACAAGGATATAGCCCGATGTGGTTTTTTATCGATTTTTTTTATCACCTGTGCCTCTGCGTGTACATGAAACATGATATTGCTTATATACCATATACACCTGCAAACAGAGCAGCACATGCAGAGCCATATATACATATACTTAGGCTTTGCATACCTACACACATGATATATTTGTACATACAGCTCGATGCCGAGCTAGACAAGAGTCTGAGATTTGTGAAATCGTACAAAGGGGATCTGGACGACCTCTGCCTCACATTCTCATCGGATGAGGATGTGTTTGGCGAAACTATCACGACAGGTGTGTAAGCCAAAATACACGGTAGTCCCTTTCAGCCAAATGAAGTTGTGTGTTCTTTTGAATTCCGCTGGATCTTGTGCTTGTGTTTCAGACTTGAAGGCTTTTGACGGTGGCAGGGCCTTGGCGTGGACAGATGATATTGCTGTAGATTGAAGTTCACATATTACATGTATCCTACAAGTACAACTTTTCAGCACTTACGTATAAGGAGAGGCTTTACGTATACAGATGGCACTTATATTTGCACATGAACATATGTCAACCTGCTGATACCACAGATCTGGTGTCTGGGGGCAGCGCTATAACTGTCTCCAGCACCAACACTCTTATATACATTTGACTCTTGCCGGATCAGTGGATGACCAAGGCCATTGAGTGCCAATCACAAGCCTTCGTTTAGCTACTTCACATCACGAATACTGGCCTGTTGTAATCGACAGCAATTCACGACCTACAATCTACTGGACTTTAAATCATGAATACTGACCTGTTGTAATCGACGACCTACAATCTACTGTACTTTGAATCATAAATACTGGCCTGTTGTAATCGATAGCAACTCACGACCTACAATCTATTGAAACCCACAGATTTGGTGCCTGGGGGCAGTGCTATGGCCGTCACCAACGACAACGTTATCATGTACATATACCTCATGGCCGATCACCGCATGAACAAAGCCATTGAGCAGCAATCGAAGGCATTTGTGAAGGGCTTCACGGAGGTCATACACCGCAACTGGCTCCGGCTGTTCAGCGCAACAGATATCCAGACCTTGATCGCAGGTATGAAAGTCTTCACAATTGACGAGAGCTATCATATGCGGAAGCGCTTTGTGCACGTGTGGTGCTGCCAAATAGTGCCTATAACCGTACGGGAATAGTACACACATCGGACTTTCATAGAAACCGTAGGGTTGTAACGCAGTCACACTACAGTCCAGCTGATTGGTAGAGCCTAATTGTATATACGCCGTCCGCTTGTTCGAGCTAGGCTGTTCGCGTTGGTGAACGTATACATGCAAAGCGATGATAAGAATATCGAATTGGATTTCTTGAAAATATCAATTTGGCCGGCGCATTCGAGTCTGCTCGAAGCAATGGGAATCCTATGGGTATCCCCTCAAGCCAAACCCAAGTATATACGGTTGACGAAGAATAGTTTCAATACATTATTTGTTTATTCTTTGACAAAGTTTCAGCATGCACCTGTTTGCCGCAGTACGATAAAAACTATCTATGAACACTTGTGCACACTCCAGGCACAAATATTGGGCTTTCATACAATAAATACTTCCAGCTTACACACAAGAGTATACACACATGCATACAAACAGAATCACTCTATACATGTATTAAGTAGCATCCCAGTATATTTCTAGATATGTGTGTAGCCATAATTGCTAAACCCGAATATATGCACAAATGTATATTCGAGAGTATGAACACAATTAGCGTGATACTTCTGATCTTCCACACAAATGTGCTAATGGCACAGACGACATGTTTGTGAAGAGGAAGTGGTACGGATACATTCCCAAGCAGTTCGTCTATATTCCTACATAAATAGCTATACACATGTACAACTGAAAGGCTGTGTACTGGATGATATTTACATCCGTGTTCACTTACAGGTGATGGAGCAGGAGGGGTGGATATCAACAACTTAATGGAGCACACACAGTACGGCGGGGGTTACAGCTCGGGTCATCGTACCGTAAGGAATCTCTGGAGTGTTGTTAAGGACGATTTGACTCCGGATCAGCAGAGACTGTTCCTCAAGTTTGTGACCAGTTGTTCGAGGGTATGATGTGTGAGGTGTTGGGGGGTGTTATGACGTTCGAATGAACATGTGTGAGGTGTTTTGACGTTCGAATTAACGTGTGTGAGGTGTTGTGACGTTCGAATGAACATGTGCGAGGTGTTGTGACGTTCGAATTAACATGTGTGAGGTGTTGTGACGTTCGAATGCGTGAACACACCTGTGTTCCGGTGTACCATAGTCCTCTCAAAACCCCTGTATTGAACATCACATCAGTGTCTGGTCTCCTCGCTATTGGGTACAGCCATGGGCAACCCATAAAAAAATATGTACATCAGTGTACGTACCATAGTTCACTTAGGCACATGTACTTCACTCTGTCATGTAGCGCCTTTAGTTGCGGACTTTCATATGCTTGGGCCGACGAGTAATCCGAAGCGTACGCCGTTTTTAAAGCTTAGGGATTCAGGGTTTTTACGTGTCCGAGTGCGGTTGCATGAATAAGTACACTATGTTTTTGATTTGGGCTGTATCTGCTGGTGCAGTTGTGCACGTAAACGTGTGAGTGCGCATATATATGTGGAACACTCTGTGCCTCAAAGTGTAGATATGAGTGCATATCTATCTGAATATATGATGAATGCGCGTGTTTTACTGGTCCCCAAACCCTAACCCATAAGTCTACGTTTATGTGTTAATAAAAAAAATTGTATGTGTATATAGGTACAGACTTGAGTGTCCTAGTACTCCGGTCACCGCAGAGGTAGAAGTGCATGTGTACGAATGTAATGGTATGTATAATTAGAGTCAATCATGAGTATCTGAACGCGTGTTATGTACTACCCCAGTGCAGCCGCCAGCTTTGGGCATCCAAACACTGAAACAGCCGTTCACGCTCATCCTACACCCCAACGGTGGCAACGTCATATGTATACCACTTCCTATTGGCCAATTAAATAGTCAATACTTTTATACATTCAGCCACGAGCACTTGAGCACACACCCTTCCATGCTCCCTCCTTTACAGCCGCCAGCTTTGGGCTTTCAAACACTGCAACCGCAGTTTACGGTCATCCTACAGCCCAACGAAGGCAACGACGCCAGGCAGACCCGCCCGACTCTTAACATGTTAACCTTCGGTCTTGTGTATGTTGCGTTCGATTCATACATGCACTGTGGAGCAGCTCAGGCTTGCATGTAAGAGCTACTCAGGCAGGGAGCATGAGCATACTCATGTATACATTGAGAATCTATTAATACATGCATTTTGGATCTACTTATGCATACTGGATAGTTGCTAGTGTGGAATGATATTTCGGACAATAATTGATATTTTAACAAATCACGCATATATATATATATTGAGCCTCTGCGTATCACTGGGGTATGCTCATTTGGACTTATATCTGAGCGTTCTGCGTCTGCATTTGAGCTACAAATTTCTGTGTCCCGGCATGAAATTCAGATGACCAACATAAATAAGAACATAGTAGCATCCCGTTGTTTGAGATGGGAACTAATACTACCACCTATACTACATGGGAAGACAGGGTCTCGCATGCAAAGTTAGTGCACTAATCAGTATATATTCGTCAGATCCGCTTTTTGTTTCCTGCGTCCCGTCGTAACCACTAACACCCCTCATTTCGGCTCACATATGCCAGCGGAACCATGGACACGTCTCGCCTCCCGACGAGTTCCACGTGTTTCAACTGTCTGAAACTGCCGCCGTATAAGACCCGAAGCAATCTGAAGGACAGACTGCTCTATGCGATCTCGGCTAAGGCCGGCTTCGAGTTGGCCTAAGAGATACGGATATGAAGCGGAGATGGATGTAAGATACTGGTGGGCATTTCGACATAGTATCTGCGCATTGAGATGAGTCAACAATCCTGAATCGTGCGCACTTGCTGCCTGCGAATGGCAGCCTCAAGGTTACCCCCCCCCCCCCCCTCAATCACCCCGGGCAACGGTCCAGCCATGTTATGGATGTATGAAATTTGTCCTGGAACATGCACCTATCACACCCAAACGGGCCCCTGAGATGGGCTCTTGCGTCAAAAGTAGCAGGAAACTCACCACGGTTCTCACCTTGCAGGCACCATCCAGATAGATGTCAAAGGAATTCGGTCGAGGTTTCGCTGATGGGCAGTTCTATTCGCAATTTTTGACTGTTATTTACAAGAGCACATTCTCGTCCGTTAGGCAACTGGTGTACATTACGGCAAAAAAAACAACCCGTACCATTCAGCAACTGAAGGTGTACTATACAGCACCTGAAAGCGTACAACACCACAACAACATTTCATAAGGCTCGTCGCCATGGTATGGATCGTAGTAAGTACGGCAAGACTGATGGGAAAGGAATTCTGGCCAAGCCAACGAGCGTACTTGTCTCAGCTGTATCCAGTGGACTAGCAATTGAGCAACACTCTGTGCAGGATTACTACAGCTTACACATACTATACGCGACGACAGCGATGGTCCTCTTCTGCGGTGTGCTGATGTTGTACGCTACAATTGTTTATGTACCGATTGAAAAACTATTCTTAGTCGGTCACCAACATGCAGACTCGAGGTGGGAGAGTTCCGCGCTCATTCATAGAGTGGCAGGTGATATCCCTGATACTGTCTGTATTCTTATTGGCGTGAATACATTGCGGAGTCTCGCCACCTACTCAACTCAATGCCCACTGCCGTAGCCTTACAACACCTACTGCATACCATTTCGAGAACGAATCAAATAGCCTGTTGGAAAAAAAACACATCGGAATAACCAAAACCCTATCCACTCTAGTACTCGATATAATAGAAAGAAACCTATTACGAACGCGTGATTACAGGAGTGAATGCCGATATGTAGTACACATAGTAATGCTGAAAGTCCAGGACAACTTATAAATACAATAAGGGAATTCTAAAATACTAAAATTTGCTGTACTTCCTTGTGCTCCTACTAAGTGCTATTCAGTAGTAGCCAATGTAGTCCTACACGAAGCGATTATGAACAATTCACCAATTTAAAGTCACTGTTGAATAGCCTTTTGAATA